CTGCTGAGCTTGTTAAACACAGGATAACTTTGTCTCTTCCTTGAGGGTAACAGAAGAGGCTTTTCTGCTTCCTCTGGGGGTAGCAGAGGGAAGCCTGGTCATACTGTTTTGACAAGTGTACATTTTGACACACTGTTGTAGGTCAGTGAGGAGTGGTGTCCCTCAGGGGTCGGTGCTGGGTTTGATACTGTTCAACATCTTTGTTGACGACATGGACAGTGGGAATGAGTGTACCCTCAGCAAGTTCACTGACAACACCAAACTGTGTGGGGCAGTTGACATGCTGGAGGGAAGGGATGTGCCATCCAGAGGGACCCTGACAGGCAGGAGAGGTGGAACAATGCAAACCCCATGAAGTTCAACAAAATGAAGTGCAAAGTCCTACATCTGGGCCATGGCAATCCCAGGCACACCTACAGGTTGGGTGGGGAAGGAATTGACACCAGCAGTGATGAGAAAGACTTGGGAGTGACAATGGATGAGAAGCTCACCATGAGCTGCAGTGTGTGCTAGCAGCCCAGAAAGCCAATTGAATTCTTGGCTGCATCAAAAGGAGTGTGGGCAGCAGGTCAAAAGAGGTGATTATTCCCCTCTACTCTGCTCTCGTGTGATCCTGCCTGGGAAACTGCAGTCAGTTCTGGTGTCCTCAAAATAAGAAGGACATGAAACTGTTGGAGCAAGTCCAGAGGAGGACTACGAAGTTGATAAGAGGATTGAAGCATCTCCTCTGTGAGGACAGGCTAAGGAAATTAGGGCTGTTCAGCTTGGAGAAGAGAAGGTTGCATGGGGACCTTTGGTTTACTAACACTCAGAGCCTGACTACTCCTGCCTGGTGCACTTCTCATTGATACCAGCAAACTGGATTTTCCTCGGAACAGGGCTCTGGAATTCTTTACACAGTGATCAGGTGATAGAATTCTAGTCAATATGGGGTGATAACAGTGATCTTGTGAACCTGGGGAAGCTCTGAACGAGAGGGGTAGGATCTCTTGCAGCTGGTGTGAATGTCAACATTGAAATGTGTATGCTACTGCAAACCTGAAAAAAACTGAAGGAATGGTGTCTGAAGGGGAAGTGGGTGAAGCAAAGTGGGCCAGAAGCATCATTTGAAGAAAAAAGTCATCTCTACATCTGACATCATCCCGTGATCTTGACAGGACAAATCTGAGATGTCAGAAGCCTTGTTTGTTGGCTTTGTTTGTTGTATTTTAATACATCTTTCAGTAAGTTTTCATGCAGTATGATGGTAACTTTTTATTCTTTGCGTTTTCCTGTCTTACAAGGGATTTTTTATTATGTTAAGACAAAGGCAGTTTTTAAAACTTATAAGCTCTTTCTTTGGAATTGCAGCACAGAAGGATCTTCAGACCCCAAAGAAGTTAATAACTTCTGGAAAGAAAAGCACTTGCCGGCAAGAACTGCAGTATCCAGAGACTTCAAGTGACAGTGAAGATTCTGTTTTTGTAGAAAGTCCATGGCATGACTACCAAAAAGGGGGAGTGAGAGAGATTCAGGAGGGCATAAAGCTTTCACCTCCACAAAGTCTGAAGAAGTCAGTTTCCAAAGGCAGTGCTGATCTGCTTGTTAGAAGGAAAGAAAGAAGCTGTGAAAAGAGTACAGAAAATGAAATGCCAACTGTGGCACTGTGGCACAGTGCAGGGGTAGAATCAGACAGCTCAGACGACAGTTTTGAGTCATTAATAGAGAGAATCAGGAAGAGAAGCACACCCAGAAAACCTGTCTTAAGCACAAGTAAAACTGTCTATCAGCCCAGCACAAAAGGTAAGTGATTGTTCTTGGCTAACTTGCAGTGGAATTGCAGCCTTGGGCTGTTTTTATGAGTCTTGTCATTAAAGGCATTTTAGTTTTTTTAATTATTCTGAAAGCAAATCTAACAGGGTTTTGAGTGATTCTATGAGGTTTTGTGTATGACAGTTAATATGAAACTGTCGTGTTGGTAAGACAAATTTTGAGCAGTTCAGAATGTTGTTCATTTACTATTTGCATCTGTACTTTGCTTCATTTTTTTAAAAATACAGTTTATAATGAGGATTTCCTAAATCTGTACCTCCTCCTCTCTTTTGACAAACTGAAATGAGCTTCAACTGAAAGACTGAAAAGGGAGGAAATTACTATTGCTGAGTAAGAGGTGAAAACATACCTTTCTAGAAAGTAAACACAGAATGACTTCCTTACTGACATGCATCAGTTGAGGGCAAGCCCCATGAAAGAGGATGACTGACAGCATAGAAATATGCCCTGGGAAAGAGCAACTTCTGTATTTTGATTTGGTCCAATGTCACAGGAATGTCTGAGTGAGGTCATGAATGCTTTTCCTTTCACTTCTTCCTTGCTGAACATTTCCAAGTTTGGAGTCTGCCACTCCTTCACCGAATGGTCGTTTTGGGAGAACAGAACAACAAATTACCTTTCCATCAGTTGTAAAAGCCTTTGCATTCAAGTGTGCACAGTGAGAGGTGGAATATTTGGCTTTTTCCCTGTGGTCACTTACCTGGTTGCTGGTGTCTGTGCTCCTTGTTCTTTGACAATGTGTAATCCTGTGACTCTTTCTGTTGAACTAGAAAACATCAAGCCACCCGGCAAAGATACACAGCCCTTGAAAGGGGAGGGAGTCAAGGCACCAAGGCTAAACTTTATTTCACTTCAAGAAACACCTTCCAGTATAACAACTCCTGCAAGAACTCCCAGGAGTAAATTGGTTGGTTGCTCACAATCAGCAAAGACAGAGAAAAAGTGAGTGTTTCTCTGTTTTTACTGTGTTCTAGGACAATTAGAGACGGACAAAGAGACGCTAAGCATTTTGTCTAGGATGATGCAGTGACTCCTCTAGTACCTAGAAACCTCTGCTACTAATTCAGCATTTGTTAATGATTAAGTAGCTGGAAATCAAAGTTTTCAGTCTCCAGTACAGCAGGGAAAATATAAGCTGATCTCTGCCTAGAGGAACTGATGACAAATAAATCTGCCATGTCAAATCTTCTCTGCAAGTGTTATCTCTCTTGCTACTCCTTGTCTTGGCACAGCATAGTTCTACCATGTGCTGGCCCTGCAGATTCTCTGTATCAAGCTGCTTGCCTCTGAAAGTACATCAGAACTGATTCTATTAGTAATTCCTGCCTTTAACAATATTGTCTTGATTTTTTTTTTTTACCTGTATCCTTATAGCTTGCAAAATTCCTGTTTCTTTTTCCATATGTGGATACAGCTTAAGCTTTAGCATGTGCTGTCACCCTTAGCCATTTTATAATACCAATACAAAGCCGTTAAATGATTTCTTCAAAGCTGAGACTTTGTCAGAATGCTGCAGGATTCAGTTAGTAACCCTGGTGGAGTATCTACTTCTCCTGAATGAATTCCTGAGCATTCCTGGGACATCTTTGGCTCTGTTTTGAGAATACACCTTTATTATGGATTAACATGTTAGGACTGTGCATATCTGGAATAAGTTTTGGTATAATTGTGGCTTGCTGTGTCACAAAGATCTGAGCCACCCTCTTTGCCTGCTTAGGAGCATAGTCTAGTTTTGTGAGTGAATGGAGTAACTGCAGGACTATTGCAGCAGCTCTGCCCCTGCTGCCCTGGGAGGGGTAAGAGGACATGTGTGTCCCACTGGCCTTGTGAGGGTAAGTTAGTGGAAAGAGTCAGGAGAGGTTTATGCCAGTCCAACCTCCCTGAGATCCTTATTGGCAATAAAGTTGCCATTTTGTAAATGTACAAAAATATTCTACAAGTGATATCTCTGTATTTCAGTAAATGCTTGATGGCTTTTCTTGCAGGCTCAGGGTGTGCACAGTGCCTGGCTGTTTCTTGCAAGATCTTTCAAGTCCAACTTCTTACTATGTGAAGTATTTCAAGAAGAATAAAGAGGAGCTGGCACAGAAGCTCTACAGTCTGTTTAATAGTACCATCTTTGAGCAGAAGGTTGGTTTCCAAATGAAAACTGCAATTCTAAAATGCTGGTTAATATGTTGCTCCTCATTTTTTGATGTGATTTCTCTTTATCCTCTTCAGTTAGTAATAAGTTAAGCTTTACAGCAATGGCTTATGTTTGGATTGGTTCAAGCAATTTCTTTGAAAGGGGTTTGTCACCACTGTTGCAGTGGTTTTCAGCTTGGGTTGTTTTCCCAGCTGTAATGGGTAGAGCACCATCCTTGAGTCAGCAGTCTGGATCATATCCAAGAGTCATTGATGAGAGAAGCTGCTATATCATAGAATTATAAAATGATTTGGGCTGGAAGGGACCTTAAAAATCAACCAGTTCCACCCCCTGCCATGGGCATGGACACCTTCCACTAGACCAGGTTGCTCCAAGCCCCATCCAACCTGGTCGTGAAAACTTCCAGTGTTGAGGC